AGGATGGGCACAGCAAGTTACCACTGCCACGCGTTTGAACAACAGCCTAAATTTAGTATTCACTCTTAACCTCTCATGTGTTGAAGTAACTGTTCTGGGTTGATTCCCGGGCAGTGTTCATAAAATTGTTAGGTGCTGTATTATATCTCACTAGAACCATGGAAACTCTACAATGTTATATCGACTCATCCGGGCTGTCGATTGGTCTCAATTCTCCAGACTTCTCCGGTCTCTCAAATTGGATAATTTTTTCTTGACCAGAAATGTCGAAGAGTCTGTGTCAGAGCTTCTGACAAATTTTTAAACATGTATAGACATACTCGCGCCATTGAAACGAATGCTAGTTCCAGCGAATAGAACCACCTGCAAATTTTCACCAAGAGTATGTCGCAAGCTACGCAAACTTCGAGCTAGGTATAACAAGACTGGTGACTTCTCCATGATCATACGTATAAATAGTCTTTGCAATAAGATCGCTACAGAAAACAGGCTGCGACATATAGCTGAAGAGCGTCTGGCAATTTCCAATTGCCGTAAGACACCCGCTCACGCAACTGTACAGTCAAGAAATCCTAGACGTACCGACCGAATCCCATCTCAATCCGACACAAAGATGTAAATATCACGGACCCAGTTTGCATGTGTGAGGCGTTCAGTGGATATTTTGCTTCCACACTTATTAACGAGCACGAGCCTGTAGATATCAACCTGATAAATTACACTGACCGCATACTGTCAGAGATAAGTACAAATATCGCAGAGATTAAATCCGCCGTAAAAACAGTTTCACCCTCTCCCTTTGAGGGGCCGGACGGCATTCCCTCAATTTTATTCACGCATGGCGGCGAAGACAATCCCATTTTACATTTTAAATTTTCCAGCCTTTCTTTGAAATATAGCTATTTTCCATCCAAATGGAAACATACTATCACCATTCCAAAACACAAAAGCGGGTGGACGGAACGATGTGCGAAACTATCGACCCATTAATCAGACTTCCATCATTGCTAGAGTATTTGCAGGAGTAAACAAAAAGTATCTCCTCGACTATGTTATGACACACAGACTCCTAAGGGACCAACAACATGGATTTATGAGTAAACGCTCATATAACACCTGCCAGTTAGACTTTTTAGATTAAATTACTTCGGCTGTAATTGCTAAAATGTCGATACTGGTAGTCTTCACCGATATGCGCAAATCCTTCGAGTACGTTCCGCGTAAGCGACTTGTGTTGAAGTTTAGGTTATTCAGAGTCCGTGACTCACTGCTGGCTTGGTTTAGTTCCTTCTTAGAGGATCACACTCAAACTGTTTTACTAAATGAGCTGGAATCACAACCACCTGCAATAGCAAGTGGAGTACTGCAAGGTAGCGGTACTTGATCCCATTCCGTTTCCCATCTATATCAATGATGCTTTCGATAATATGAAATCTGGTAAACCGTTTTTATTTGCGGAGGACATGAATATCATCTACACATTTCCTCCAAAAGTTCTGCAGACAATCAGCAAAACTCTTCAAACGGATCTGAATTCCCTTGAACTCAGGTCAAATGCATGGTTAATTAAATTCTCCGGGCACAAGTCCTGCGAACTCTGTCATAGATGTAGCATCCTACCAGGAGTTTTAACTGTAAATGGGGAACCAATCTCTATCACTCAGTCCGTCCGTGACCTAGGCTTAAGCCCCATTGAACTACTAGACTTCTCAACTCACGCTCAAAAACAGTTATCAAACGCAAGACGCGCTTTAAGCTTAATCAACAAACCAATACTCTTACCCAAAGTCAAGCTAGCTCTTGATTTGATTTGTGTACACCCAGTTTTGCAGTACTCCCCGGATCATATACAGTCACGTGCGCAAGAATTATCTCTTATCTCTGGAACGTCTGCAGCGGTCATTCATTAAAAGCCTTATGAATGAGTCGTTGCTAGCAACTTATCAGGATAGATGTAGTGTACTGAGCATCGATCCTCTATACTTACGAAGATTGAAGTTGACGTTAGTTTTCTTTTACTAACTAATACGTAACCTCAGCTTCAGCGCAAGCGCAGTTGAAGTTTGGGGCCGTTAATGAATACAACGTAAGGAACCAAAACTTATTCTCCCCCAACAAAATTTCAGGTTTCAACTTCACGCAAACTTCATCGTAGTTAGAGACTCAGCTACCTGGAACCGACTGCCGCACTCAGTAAGCGCTAGTCCGACTATCGGTTAATTCACAAATGAACTTAGTCCATTTCTGCTATTACCGAACATGGCTAAACTGTTTAATCGACAGGACCATGGAATATTTAATAAAAGGATCACACAATACATTAGTCACTCCGTTAGACCCAATCTTGCAGCTCGGAGTTTATACTCTCCAGTTCGCCCCCTCAACACTGCTATGACGATAGTCTAGATAGAAATTAGTCTTGAAGTTTTATTACCCCAACGCTACTCACGCATTTTACCCTAATAACTGTCCTCTATTCTCTTTTGGAGAAAACAAAATCGGTATCTGCAGCACCCGTCAAAGCAATGCAGAATAAGCTTGCGCAGACAATCTTTATTTTCGATCACAAATAGCTGTCGAAGCCATCGCACTATTCCTCTGAGAACTCTTCTCTAAATGAATATTTCGGATGTTTATTTGTTTTCTATGATCCCTTAAGTTGAACGCTTGTTGAACCATCATCTGTCGCTCCTTTATCGTTACCGTTCTTTCTTCCGAGCTCTAGTTGTTCTCCTCGTAACTTTTCCACTTTATCATGGTTGGCCACTCCTAGGCTGATCTCTTGAGGTGACGGACTGAAGCTTCTTACCTGTATAGTACACACAAGCAAGGCGAATCGCCACAGAAGCACTGGCGCATAGTAAAAGTGCTGAACTGGAAATAGCTGCGTGAGAGAATGGGCTGTCGGTCGAGATTTCCTCGAAATATACAGCCGTCGATAAAAATTGTGTAAACGTGATGACAACAACATTGCACAAGGCTGAGACAAAAGGATTCAACTTATTGTTGGTCTGTTTGCTTGCTTTAGTGACCAAAAAACATGTGTCTATGTGATGAGAGCCTTTTGCATATATCTGCAGCCAAAATAATTAAACGAGTAAAAACAGTGAGGCTTATCTGCATTAAAGCCCAAAAGCACATGGCCTGATGGGACGTGGAAGTGCGGATGAAACCTCTCGAGGGAATACCCCGCAAGGAAGCAGGTCTCCAGGGGACCGTTCCATGGATAGTTGTATTATTTTGCTTTAGCTGATGACGATTCTTACAAGTATTCTTACGATCAGGTCTTTCTTGCACTACTTTTAATTGATAGCAAACCAACACTTCAGTGGAACCATTTTACACTTAGTTTTCTTCACTGTGTGCTTATGATGTACAATATGACCAGAACAAATAAGCGGTCGGTGTCTCGCAATGTCGTGAAATACACCATTTATTTTTTTACGGTCCGAAAGTTCGACAGCGGTAATTTCTACGATGAATCAATATATGCCCAGTCTAAGCTGTTATTGTTTGTAAACTTTTAGTGCCAGTCATTGCATACTACCGGCGTTATAATATACAAGATGTTGGTAAAAGTTGGACACACAGGTAGGGATGCAACATTTTGTTCAAATAACAACTTCTATATGACTTCCATCATTTGAAACACAGATGTTGAATCATTTCGCAAAGTTTTCATGAAGTTGGTGCAATGAATCCATACTGCCGTCAATTTTGTTATATGCGCTTACTCATTGAGTCAAACGGATGCGATTTTGGTTAAGTACACTTTCTCCTTTAGTATGAATGAGATAAAAAGCAAGAAGACTAAGGTCTGGTGTACGAGCAGACCACTACACATGATCACATCTCCCAAAACAATTAAGGAAATTGTCATTCAACCAATTTCTTGCATTCGTGGGCAAATGAGCAGGTACGCTATCCTGTTGGACACACTTAGGAAATCCTTCACCAAGACTTTCAAGTTCGGGCATTAACTGATCTTTCAACGTTCCCAATCCTGTGCTTATCGAAAAGAACGAGCCAAGCATGTTTTCCATTGACCACACAAAGCCATAACATTTTGTGCTTCTTCCTGGTTGGAGTTGTCAACAAATGGGGATATCTTTGCGATCAGTATCGAACATTTTTTTCTGTTCACCTCACCATTCACATAATACGAAGCTACAGCGATAGACAGCACATAGTCTTCTATGAAATGTATGTTTTTAACCATTTTTGGGAAAACCATTCACACATGTAAATTCGTCTATCAGGGTCATCTTCTGTTATGTGATGCAAGATTTGGAACTTGTATGGATGAAAGTTTGGCTGCTTTAAAATTTCACACGGTTGATTTCGGTATCCGTAACTCAACAAAGGTCCTGCTGATTGATTTTTGGGACTTGTGTACATTTTAGGCACAATAACGCCTTCCGTTTCGACTGGAAAATGGTCACTCAGAAGGCGGTTCTTCCATGGTGTTGACTGTTACCGTAAACTTCCTAGTCCTCTTCCCCATTGTTGGAAAACCAATTTGAATGCTCTTCAAATGATGTAAGTGAACTTCATCTACCATATTTCGATATCATCATCTTTCACGTCCACTGAGAAGTAGCAGCCCAACTTGATCCTCTTTAGACAGAGCCACTTTGTTTGTAGAGGCACAAATGCTGTTACAAATTTTGGATTTCATTATAACTTAATGAAAAGTATTCCATTACCCTTTGTCCAGAATTTACGGACACCCAGTACATGAGGTATGTCTCGCTTTACAATACAGTTTAAATTTTCTTTCAACTCTAGTAGTATTTTTAGTAGTACTGTCATCTTCCGAGTCGCGTGAGTTTAAGCAACATTCCTTAGATCAACACTATGACCCTAACGAGTTCGCCGCAAGTCGCTGTCGCGATGTGTGGTTTGGCCACCCACTTTTATCAGACAAGTCAACTTGCACACGTTTGTTATCAGATAAAATAGGAACCAAACTGCGTTTGAAGAGGAGGTTCATTTCTCTTATGCGCAGCTGTCAAAACCGTCAACCACAGACACCACCTTATTATAATTTCAATGTAACCATGGAAGTTCGGGCATCAAGGGATTTCACCCTAACTCTGTCGCGGTGGATACTCTTACTCTGTATCGCTATGCCTATTTGCACTTGCAAAGACAGAAACAGTGAGTCACTTTCTGATAACTGTCTTTATTTATTTGTTAACTTTGAGGGGGCATATTTAGCCAACGCATAAGGTTTTAGATATTAGCAAGAACATAGCTTCTTGGGTTTAAAGATGTAACCGGTGACATTTTTAATGCCTTGCTATCTTAATCAACACGTTGATCAACACCTAGGACTGGTTCGCTCCAATGTGGTAAAAAAGCAACTTGACCCGGGGCTCTTATTATGCAACGTATATCGTCCACTGCTCGTTTTATCGAGCTGTATACCTTGAAGTATCATGATGAGCATGGTCCATTAGAACGAAAGAAAGCCATTCATAAATGACAAATTCCTGCTGACAAAACCTTTACTTTGTCTACATATAGTCGTTCGGGGGTTATCAGTCATATGGGGTCAATATCATGGTGGTAGGAATACCTACCTGTGCAACAAAATAACTAAAACGTTAGTCACACCACATATCCGAAAGATGCCTACTATTTCTTCACTAATCAACACCATAGACATTATTTGCTTATGCCTTAGAGACGATAATTGTTGCGGTGATTATATCTACCCTGCTTATTGCAAACGAATAAAGAATGCTAGACGCTGTATTATGGGATCAACCAGAATTCTCTATCCATGCAACCATTGTAAGCAAAATGAAAAGCTAAAAATGCTTGATACCTATCAGTAGCAAAGTTTTCATGCGATACCTTGGAAAATGTCTGACGAAGTAACCTGAGACGCATCAGTGTAACATTCTTAGCGAGTACTCATTCTCCGAACCTCAGGAATGTTTCGAACTGATGCGCCGTGATAGCCACCAATACGCACGCTGGTGAACCGTTCCATACTTAGACCACTCTCATCTGGAAGCAGGGTTGGGTAACTCGTTTCAGATGCCGGACCGATATCCGCTTGTGTGACCTGAGGTTCACAGGAGAAAAGGCGACCTCAGCATGTGGAAATCACCAAAGTGGTACGTGATCGACTAGTAAATAACGATGAGCACCCACTTGTTTCCCAAGTCTGTGTAATGGGAGTTAGTGGTGGATACGGATTACGTTGACTTAAGAGATAGAGATATATTTACATTTTTCACTTGCCTATTTACAGCACAACTAGTAGTGCCATAACATATGGATAAAAACAGCACGACAAAATAAAGGGAAAAAGTCAGGCTTAATCTGCAATCAAGGCAGAGCAGTCTCACAGGGTTTCTGTAATTGGGTGCGATTTTTTACCATGACGGGCAGCGACGACAACCAGGCGTGTTCGTTGTCCGTGCGCCCCAAATCCGATAGTCGAGAGCGTCTACGAGAAACCACAAATTACGGAAGTGTCATCATCCTACCACAGATTACAACCCCGAACCTCCTGGAAGCAACTCGACGCCGCTAGGTTCGCAATGTTTCGGTTTCCTGCAGGATGTCATGTACATGGAAGTCGAATAGGGATGGTGGTGCTGGACAGCACCATCTCAAGCCAATAAAAGGTGGTACAATTTCGTCGCACACTAGTCTCGGTCCGAATTATCCGAATAAATGGCTTGGAGAATGTTGACAGAGTTCTCTGGTACCCTTTCACAGCGACTAACTCCAGAGAGCAGCTCGATCACGTGAGTCGAACGCCATTAGTCCGTCTAAGAAATCAAGCTGTCACCAACTAAACTTAATAGTAAAATCATCCGTATCACAACTAACTAGCTACCTAACCCCTATTTATTAGCCATCAGTGGGTAATCATTAGAGAGTCGTCAGGGAATTAGACAAACTTTCGCAATAAATGTTATTACTTAAAGTACAAATACAAACCTTTAAATTAGTGCAACAAGTTGGCGCCTCTTTCGGCTCGTTCGTCGATTATTGTTCTGTTGGGTAAAGTGGTCGTTCGCCCCGTCGAAATAGAGATTTGGATGAACACTGAGGTCGCAGCCTAGGTCAACCGGCCAGGCAAAGGAGCGAACAAATGTTTATAAGGTATAAGAGCCAAAACTGGGGATTAGTGTTCAGAACCTATCGCTCCAGAGTGTTGGTGGAAACCAGTCATCTAGAACGGAATTGGAAGGAATGGTTGAGACAAACGAGAGACCACAGATATATCCATGCTTGAGCTGGGATTATATACCAAAGCAAGGAACCCGGTGAACTTGGAGTGCGACCTACTACGTGAATTAGCCGAATGCGCACCAAATATATCACAACTTGTTGAAGCTATGCAATATGAACCACCTTATTAACGCGCCTCCTGCTTTAAGAAAAACATTGCTCAAAAGTAGCAGTTTTCTATATATGCGATAACAATTAAATAAATACAGTATTACTTTTTCGCAAGTTAAAACAAAAAATATGCAATAACTAATAGTTAACTCGATATCTAAACTAGGACTTTTTGGGTAATGGTTTATTGTGAACCCGCTTTGTGGGTAAAGACATCAAAAAGGTTTCAAAGCTTTGAAAACTACCAGTTGGTATAGTTTGTGGGCAACGTTTCACTTTTGACACAAAAGCTTCCTCAGGTCGCGTGAACCGGTTAAATATTGGTATGGCACTTATTGCGAACTGGGATGAGAATCACGACGAATGGGATGTAGGCAGAAGGTCTATCGTTTTACAGGTCAAAGCATCACTCCAATTAGTGCATGGAACGGTCACAAGTGGTCCGCGTTACATTGTCATACACGTAAGTCCTGTTAACGTAGGGTGGGGGATGATGTGGTTTTCATTCTCTGCCCTGGAGCCGTCCTCTGGCGCTCCTCAGACTGATCGGGTTAAGATTGCTAGTCACACGCTTGAATGTTCTGCTGCGTCCATCCTGCTCACGCAGCTGTTCACCTTGCTAATCTCAACCGCCTCAGCAGTCAGCCCCTGAGTAGTTGATTCCAATCCCTTTCTGACGCTTTCGGCGTTATCCAAGTCGATCTCATGACCTGCATCGAGCGCGTGCAGCACTACATCAGAAGTCTTCAGTAGAGCCACATATTCAAGCTGGTTTCTCGGTGGCAGTGTTATGTGTCTCTTATGTTCTGCTATCCTTGTGCGTAGCTCTGTCGCGATTTGGTCGATGTACACGTGTGCACAGTCTTTGCAACTAATTTTCTAGACGCAGTTGGTTGTCCCATCTGCGGGAAGGAGGTCTTTTAAGTGCACCAGCGTAGAGCGGAGCGTTTGGTCTTTCTGGAAAATTCCCTTTTGTTCTCTTTATTTAGGACCGCCGAATGATCTCCGAAGTTCCCTCTTTATAAGGAATACCTACCATTCCAATCCACTGCGTAGTACGCCGTGGGCGAGGATTCAAAATTCGCTGCAACTGGCGTTTCACTAACCGCCTCGGGTATTCACTAGCAAACAATTGCTTCATTGCTTCTTTCCGGGCGGTCTTTCCATCTTTTTCCTCTATGCACAGGGTCTTGGCTCTGTGAAACAAAGATGAGGCGATTCCAGCATACACATGCTTTGAGTGACCTGAACTATAGTGGAGTACACCATCTGCGTCCGTCGGCTTACTATATATCGTGGCTTTTAGACTACCCCCATTCTTGTGAACTAAGCAGTCAAGGAATGACATGTTCCACTGCAAGACACCAATTCCATAGAGAGACTTATATGCTCCGCAAGAGTGTTCAAGCGGTTTGGAAACTCGTCTTTCTTATCTGATTTTATACTAACAAAAGTGTCATCAATGTAAAGCCAGCAACGTTTCGGTGAGCTACTAGAGTCAGTTAGCTCTCTCCTTTCAAAGTTCTCCATGTACAAATTTGCCAACACAGGGGATATTGTTGATCCCATGGCAAGTTCCTGTTCCTGAGTGCAAATCTGGATTGGAACGTGAAATAAGACATGTTAAGGCACAGTGTCATTCCTTCCGTAATTCGGTCTACCGTATGCTTTGTCCTCTCTCCCACTTTACTATCTCCAGTTAGACGGTGTTACGCTATCTCCAAAGTGTCACATATTGGCACGCTGATAAAGAGCGAGCAAACGTCTAAACTGACCATCATTTCATCCGATTCAATCTCAAACCCTGACACCTTTCTCACAAAGTCATAAGAGTTCTTTACGAACGTAGTCGTTTGCCGTTAAGGGTTGTAATACACTATCCAAATATCTAGCTAGTTCAGGCGTCGAGGAACCTATGCCATCTACATTAGGTCGAATGGCTACATTTAACTTATGTATCTTCGCTAATCCATATACTCTTGGCAGAAGACATCACTTCCGGTATACGTTGTATCATTTTCCCGGTCCTAGATGCTCCTTTACTTTCCTTAGATCATTAGTAACCTCTATCTTATCTATCTGAAGTATTAACTACGTTACAATATTTACTGCTGGATACAGGCCTGCTAGTTGGACCGATGGCCTTGCTACGTGCGGACATCAAATGGTGGAACTTACGGATTTGTGTTTCTTTTGTGCTCCTCCCTTGCGTTAACTTAACATCCGAAGCGTAGTTGTAAAGTCTGTCATAGTCTGCCTGCGTTACCATAGTCTGCAACTCCGCACTCAGTTGATTTGCGTGGAGTAGTACTTCACCAGGCGTCAGGTTGTCGGATAAACCGTTGTTTCAAGAATGCTTCACTTGCGTTGAAGGCAATTTTGGCAGAAGTATAACAGTTGTTCAGTTGGTTGACTACAAGATTCTGGAGGTTGATGTTATTTTTGAGGAACGCGGTCCGTAAAGGCACTCAACACCTTGGAAAATACTTGGAATTAACCGAGGACTAATGATTTCAGAAAGGTTTGAAAACAACCGCTTGGTACAGTTCGTGGGCAACGTTTCGCTTTTGAAACAAAAGCTTCGTCAGGCCGAGTGAACCAGCCGGAGATTGGTATTGCACTTATAGCGAATTGGGATGAGAATCTCGACGAATGGGATGTAAGCAGTAGGTCAATCGTTTTACAGGTCAACGCATCACTCCAAAAAGTTTAAGTACCTCTGCTCTATAAGTTGGCCATTTGATGGCTAACCTTCCAGTGGTCCCCTAATGCCTCGTTTCGTCCGATAACTC